TTCAGGTGTTCCTTGCTTTCAGTCAAGATCCATCTGATGTCAGCAATGATATTCCTCATTCCGCATCCTCTTCTGAAACTGGCTTAAACCTCTGGAAGTTCTCTATCAATGTATGGTTGCAATAATTTCTGTATTATCGTTAGTAAAACTTTACTTGCAAGGAGTATCAATAATATTGTCCAATGATTTCTGCATTCCTTTGGGTCACCTCTCTTTGGAATGGGCACAAAATACAGATCTCTTCCAGTCTGTTGGCCAGGTAGTTGTCTTCCAAATTTCTTGGCCTAGATGAGTGAGTGCCTCAAGTACAGCATCACTTTGTTGAATGATTTCAATATGTATTCCAATTTATATTTCAATTTGATCTGATGTTGTTGTTGTTATGTACCGTGGAGTCGGTTCTGACTCATAGTGACCCTGTACAGGGTTTCCGAGGTTGTAAATCTTTACGGGAGTAGAAAGCCTCATCTATCTCCTGCGGAACAGCTGGTAGTTTCGAACTGCTGACCCGGAGGCTCGCAGCCTGATTCGTAACCACTATGATGTCATATGTTTGGACAGGGGTACAAAATTACATTTTCCACAGATGAGCTACTAGAGTAAATGAATAGGAGGAAAATAACTGAGGAAAAAGATCTATAGTGGAGGCAGTGGGAAAAGATCAATAGAACCATTAAAAAAAACTCCAGATACACAGAATAGAGGGGCAGAGTGTGGGCAAGAGATTAACAAAATCAATCTCCTTGTCAGGCAGGCAGGATATAAACAAGATTAAGAAAAAGGAAAAAACAAAACAAAACAAAACACTATCTGTAGGTCCAGAACTGAGCTGGGTTTGTGTATCCTCCTTCCCTATTCAGCTATCCATCAGGGGTTGCTAACAATCAGCTACCTATTAACCTCTTCCTTAAGCAGCTTTCCGTATCCCTTTATTGCCATGGTATTATCAATCTAGGGAGTGTCAGAATTTGACACTATTGAGAACATTCTACTTTTATTTTCTTTTATTCCCCACTGCTTTGTTTATTCTCTTTGAGGAGAATTATTTAATGTTAATCTTTGAGAATACTCTGCTCTTCTTCCATAATTTCTCTTCTACGGAGAGGCCATCAATTTACGTTTTTCATAGACAGCTTATCTTTTCATGGTTTCCACTTCCTTTCTTGTAATTGGAAATGAACACAGCATTGCCAATCCACACTCTTTTAGTTCTGCAATAATTTTTTCAAACTGTCTTTATAGCACTTCAATTTCATATCTATAAAATCCTTAAGTAGTTACATTTGATTCTATAGAGGTTATGTATGGTTAACTTTAGTTAACAGTTATAGTGTGCCACCTATGGGATTTTGTGAGACATAGAAATTAACAAAAGAGCATAAAGTGGTGCAGGATCTAGATCAGTGTGTATAATTTAAAATATGAAAAGGCAGAAAAGCCAGCAAACGTGAGTTCTGCAAGGCTGCAAAATCTTTTGAAATAAATACACAGTAAATCTTATGTTTATGCTTGTTGGTGCGGGGATTTACTCACCATCAGCCTCCCTAACTGACAGAATATAAGAAATTCCATATTTCATGTAAATATCTTACTTTCCAACTTTACTTCCCTAATGTCAGTCTTTTCTTTTTCCTCTACAAGTAACTATTCCACGGCCTTGAAATACATTCTTTCTTCAAAATTCAAAGTTCTGTCTTGTATGGATGATTTATATTTATTAATACAATTTGCATTGCTTTTGTTTGTAAGCAATAGTATATTGTTTCTGGTCTTGCTTTTATTCTTACTCTTCTCACATTGATCTATCATCATGTTGTATCATTAAGTATTTTCAGAATTAAGAAAATAATAATGGTGTACTTTATAATATTAAAAATAGTAAGCATTTAGAGAAAAAAATAACAAACTAATGAATATATTAACTACCTTGAAAGTTTTGAAAATTGATTCAAAATATTGCCTCCAAAATATTTTGAGTCAAAACAATGAACTGCTAATTGTGTAAATCATAAATCAATGACTTTTAAATTTAATGTAAAGAAAATCTACATCCTCAGTCCAAAGCACCAATTTAAAACTTGCACTATCTGACATTGTGATAAAATGCTATTCATAGAGAGATGAAGTCAATGTTCATTTCATGAGATATTTGGTCCAGATGCCAAGAAAGATCAAGTTACAATTTTGTGGAAATAAAGAACTTCTATAAAGCACTTGAGATAGCATTTAAAGGAAGATCTCCAACAAGATGGATTGGCACAGTGGCAGCAGCTATGGGCTCAAGCAAAACAATGGTTGTGAAGTTAGCACAGGACTGGGCAGTGTTTCCTTCTGTTGTTCATAAGGTTGCAGAAATACCTAACAACAGCAATAACAAGGGAAGTCTGAACCTACCATGTAACAAACTGATTATCAAAACTATGGATTAATTATCTTAACACATTATTCTAGCTATACTCCCCATTCCTACTAGCCTTAAATTTATATTAAAACCTCAGGAAAAAGTGGTTTATAAATAGTAAACTGAAGGAAGGCAACCCCTTCATTCATTTATATATTTAAAATTTTATACTTACACAAGGAAAAAAAATAGTGTAGAGAACTTTATACCAAGACCATGATGTTGCACCCTTATAAAATTACTTAAACTGTAATTCCTGTTTTTTCTTTACTTTAATTAAGTGCACTATATGAAACAGGAACAAGAAACATACAATTATACTTATTGTAGAAATGTTGTTTGCTGTTGTTAAGTGTTGTAGAGTCAGTTCTTACTCATAGAGAGCCTGTATAGAGTTTATGAGGCTTCATCTTTCTCCCGCAGAGTGACTAGTGGTGTCATACCACCAACCTTGTGCTTTGCAGTCTAGTACTTATTCTACAGAGCCATCATACTCCAGAAATGTTATTAAGAATGTCATAAATTAAACCACTAGCATCTTGATTAAAGCTAAAACCCTCATAGCAATCCTGTTGGACCGAATAAATTGCCCATAGTGTTTCCAAGGTTGTCATCTTTACAGAAGTTGCCTGCCATGTGTTTCTCTCTTGGAATAGCTGGTGGGTTTGAACCACCAACTTTTTTTGGTCAACAGCAGAAAGCTTTAGCACATCAAGGATCCTCCGTATTATGATTGTTGTTGGTAAGTGCTGTCAAGTCAGTTCTGACTCAGTGACTCTGTATAGGGTTTCCCAGGAGCAGCTGGTGAGGTTCAAACTCTCACCTATTGGTTTAAATTGCCTTTGCTTTTCAGTGCTTTACCTACAGTGCCACACCAGAACTAATACCTCTTAAATCTCAGTATCAGGAATATTGGGTCTTTTTGACATGAATGGCTTTGATTAAGATTTAATACATTTCATAATTTAACACAACTCTTTGATTTTTGTAGCCAAGATGGGTAAGTGAAATATGAATCCCAATTATAGCAATTTTTGAGAAAAGCTTATGAATTTCTATATAATAATTGTGCAATCAGAATACATTTTTCTTGTTCTTATATCCCTTACAGGTCTTATTTCCATGTATTTAATTGTTTTCTATCTTATCACATGCATTTTATAGTCCACATCTTTCCAAGTTAAATTAATGACATTACAAATAACTAAATCATGAATGGTAATAAAAAGACAGAATAATTTGACTTGATAATAAAATGACTAACAGAAGTCCTCAAAAAAGGTTGAGTTGAATAGGGAGTGACTTTGAGTAGATGAATCATCAATGAAATAATTAATAATATGAGAAAGAATAAATAAGAGACCAAAAAACCACTATCTTAAACAAGACTGAGATCTTTTGGTTCTAATCATCTTAGAAATATATTAAGGTTTATGAAACTACAGTGCTGACAGTATGAAAACAGCTCTGATCCTTTTTTTGTTTGTTTGTTTCTAACATTTACTAATTATTTTACAGCTTGTGAAATTATGAGACTGTTTCCTCACCCCAATATAAATTATATTGAGTTTTGTTTTATTTTATTGCATTGTATTGTACTGTTTTGTTGTGTTTGTTTTTTTGGGTTTTTTTTTGCTTGCTTGCTCAGTGAAACTCCTCTTCCTTCTGAGACCCGTCCTTTCATCACTAACAAATGATCCTTTTGAGAATCAGTAAGTCACAAAATGCCTAATACTCATTAATCCATAAGTGTTCAAAATATGAAGAGGTTTAAACCATATTCAATTTTTTGAGTTTTGCAAAGCTGTAGAAAATATCACTTCTGTACTTTCAGGTAGCAATATTTTCATAATTTCTATGCAAGTGTGTTACAGTTATTATTTTGAGAGTTTGTGTTTTGCTGGTACTGTAAAGACTACATTTTGTTGTAATGTGCTGTTGAGTCAGCTCTGGCTCGGCAACACTGTATAGAGTTTCCAAGTGTGGCTGGTGGGTTTGAATGTCGATCTAGTACTTACCATACAACACCACCGTTACCCTAGACTTTGATCTATCAAGGATATGACTCCTGAACCATAGTCAGTTATTATAGAATGGATTACCCACACCAAACTAAGACACTGAGAATACTTCCCTGGGTAACTGGCGCTATATTCCAATTCATCTTGAACTAATGAATAGGATCCATTTTCACAATATGTATTTTTTCCTTGGGAACTGAGAAATGAAAAAGAGAAAGACATGCTGCAGCAAGAAAAAAAGAATGCAGAAAAAGCATGGGAAGGAAGATGAGAGAGACCTAAGAAAGTTTAGGTCACATATTCCAATTGTTCTTTTCTTGGATTTCTTGAGACAATCGACATTGTTATAATATGCTACTATATTTTATTAAGAATTTTTGCTTGGCTTCCAAATATTTCAAATATAGTGTGACTCCCCCCACACTTTTTTTTTTGAGGTGTCAGTAGTTGGCACTGATTCCTTATACTAATGAAAAGGTAGCATAGTATCTCTTTTCCACTTCTGCCAGTAGGCAATCTTTAGAGAACATATTGGTGAGTATATGAAGAAATAAATGAGCATGAGCAAAATCTCCACATTAGATGCGCAGACGAAGTATCTTGCCCAAGCCCTGCCTCAGTTCTTTATTCTTTAGCGCATAAATCATGGGGTTGAGGGCAGGAGGAATGACATTGTGTAACACATTAAGTAGAACTGGGAAAAGAGGAACTGTCTTTGTTGCACTATGTGTGATAGAAATGACAACAACAATTGTGTAGAAGAAAAAAATTAGAATGAGATGTGAAGTGCAGGTGCTCAGGGCCTTAGATGCAGCTTCTGCTGAGTTCAGCCTTAGCACAGAGTGAAGTATCAAAGCATATGATAAAATAATCATACCCAGGTCACTGCCCATGAGTGTCCAAGCTAGAAGTAGCTGGTAGATGCTATTGATTGTCCTGTCATCACAGGATAGGCTAGTGACTCCAAGGTTAGAGCACAGACAATGCTCAATTTGATTCCGGGAGCAGTAGTGTCTCTGAGCAGCCAGCACTGGCACTGGGAGAGTTGACAAGCTGTTTCTAAGTACCATTAATACAGTTGCTTTGACCACAAATGATTTGGTAATTATTGATGGATATCGTAGAGGTCGGCAAATGGCTACATATCTGTCAATAGCCATGCAGAGGAAGATGCCTGACTCCATGGCCACAAAACAATGTATGACATATATCTGAGAAAAACACTCAGGGAGACTGATGACCTTGGCATTGAACCACAGGATGGCCAAAATCTTAGGCATGATAGTAGTAGCTAAGCCTATGTCCACCACAGCTAGGATGCCCAGAAAGAGATACATGGGCTGGTTCAGTGCAGCCTCTTGGTTGATGGTGATCAGGATAAAGATGTTGGCACCCAGAGCCAAGAGGTAGAGTACAGCCAAGGGCAGAGAGAGCCAATGTTGCCATTCATGAATGCCTGGGAATCCCATGAGAATGAACTCTGAGACCTGGAACTTAGAGCTATTGGGATTTCTGAGGACCTGGAACATTCTTGCCTAAGAGAAAAAAAAAAAAAATTCAAGGTTATTATTTTTTATTATCTCTACCATGGTTTTTGAAAGGAACTCTGACAGCATAGTGGTTACGAATCGGGCTGCAAACTGCAAGGTCAGCAGTTCAAAACTACCAGCTGCTCCGTGGGAGAAAGATGAAGCTCTCTGCTCCCGTAAAGATTTACAGCCTCGGAAACCCTGTTCAGGGTTGCTATGGGTCAGTACCAACTTGACGGCACTTAACAACAACAACAACCATCGTTTTTAGAAAAGCAATTATCCAGTATCACAGTATTAATTATTGTGTTATTATCTTCATTATTCTCATCACCCACTAACATTTGTTGGACATTTCTTATGAAATAGGAACTGTGATAACATATCCAATGAGTCAACTCAGTTAACCATCACAAAACTCAATATTTGTTGTTAAGTGCCATCAAGTCAGTTCCAACACATAGCAACCCTGTATAGGATTTCCAAAAGTAAAGAGGATTTGAAACACTTACTTATGAAGATCCAAGACTACAGCCTTTAGCATAGATTACATCTCAATGTAAAGAAAACAAAAATCCTCACAACTGGGTCAATAAACAATATCATGATAAACAAAGAAAAGATTGAAGTTGTAAAGGATTTCCTCTTACTAAATCTGCAATCAACATCCATGGAAAAAGCAGTCAAGAAATCAAATGACATTGCACTGGGCAAACCTGCTACAAAATACCTTTTATTAAAGTGTTAAAAAAAAAAAAAAAAAAAAAAAGCTTTGAGGTCTAAGGTACACCTGGTCCAAGCCATGGTATTTTCAATCATC